ACCGCAAGTTGGGCTACGACTTCAACTGCTTCGACATCAACCGCGCCTTCTTATTCTTTTTCCTGCAACTCATTTTTCTTTTGTGCATCCCTCCTTGACTCGTCAGCTCTCCGCCTTCCTATTCTTCTTCGCGGTTAGAGTTCGACATAAGCACAGAGGGAGTATGGCACCGTAGGTAAAATTTTATTTGGTTTTTGGCTATGTTGACTCTAGATTCCAAATGTGGTCAACAAATATATGTCTAGAGGTTTAGAAGATCTTTTTCATATGCATTCTAAGTTGGATTTTCATTCTCTTAGAGGTATTCTCATATCCCATTTAAGCTTTGTAGATGATTTCATAATATTTTCTAATGGTTCTTTAATTAGTATTAAAATACTTATGAGTTTTTTTAATAATTTTGAAGATATCAGTGGTCTTAACTTGAATAAGACTAAATGTTGTTTCAGTTCTTCTAAGATTATTTCTAACTGTTGTTTCAATTCTTCTTCGAAGACCATATAAATATATGAGTTATTTTTAAAGAAACTTTTGGACAGAGCTTCACTTAATGAGTACTTGCATTTTTATTTTTTTTTACTTATTTTTCTTCAATTCAAAATGTCTTGATTCTTATCCTGTCAAAGCATAATTATGGGAAGTTGGGAATATCTTTGTCATCATCCATTAAGTCATTATTTTTGTGCCTAATTTAGGGTAACCTTCGAGATTATTTGAACAATTGTATTTGTTCTTTAGCATGCATGTGAATATTTTGCCCCTCCAAATAGAATTTTGGTGAAATTTTGTGTTGTAATTGTAATAGGGCCCTTCTATGTATTGAGTGCATGCTTTATATGAGTTTTCTTAATATAGAATAAGTGAAGCATTATGTTTAGGGGTTTGATATATTGCAATAATATATTCATCTCATAAAAGATGATCAAAAGTAGAGATAAAGCTACATCGGGTCATAGGAAAGATCCAACATGAAAATATAGCACTCAGGTGGATGTAGGAGGTAGTGAGAAAATATATGTATATCTGAAATGTAATTACTGTGACAAAGTTGTGAAGGGTGGTGTGACTAGGATGAAGGAGCACCTTTTAGGGTCCCACAAGAATGTTACTCTATGCTCTAAAATGTCTGATATAGTCAGGGGGGAGATAAAGACATACATTTATAAGTCTATCACGTTAAAGCATCTTACACAAAAATAGTTTGAGGACAGAGTTGATGTTAGTTCCTATTATGGGAGCGAGCATAGCGGTAGGGATTCATCTTCTACGATGAATCCCATATCTTCTAGGGGTACAAGGGTTCCCATGGATCATTACATGGTGCAAACATCAGAGGATATGCCTCCTACTACCTAGAGGATGGCCCTAGAGAATGCTAAGGAGGGATGAAAAAGAGTATGCAATGATCTAAGAAGATTCTTCTATGAAAATGCAATCCCATTTAATGTTGCAACATCGTATGTATATTACAACATGATTCGGTCAGTTGGATCATTTGGGAGACGATTCAAACCTCCAATCATGTATGATTTGAGAACATGGATTTTGAAGTAGTTGAATAATACTGAGAAAAGCATTGAAAAAATTAAAAGGATTTAGGGTCAAACAGGTGTAACTATTATGTCAGATGGTTGGTCATATATATGAAGAATAGAAGTTTAATCAACATTTTGATTAATAATCATTATGGTACTATATTTTTTAGGTTAATTGAAGCATCTGATCAGATCAAGGATGCTGAGTACATATTTAGATTATTAGACAGCGTTGTTGAGGAGGTTGTGAATATTTAGTAGTACAAGTGGTAATAGATAATGCCAGTGCTTACAAGGCTGCAGGGAAAAAACTTATGGAGAAAATGAAATATTTATTTTGGATCTCATGTGTTTCACATTGCATAGATCTCATTATTGATAAGTTTGGGGAAGCTTCCTCAACACAAGAATGCACTTACCAAAGCAAAGAACATAACTAAGTTTATTTACAACCATTATTTAGTATTGGCACTCATGAGAAAATTTTCAAAGAAAAAAATAAGGCTAGCAATAACAAGATTTGTCACCACTTACTTAACATTGCAGAGTATGTTGGATGCTAGACAACCTTTGGAGTCTATGTTTATCTCGACACAGTGGTTGAGTTGTGCATGGGCAAAGAAAGCTGAGGGAAAAGAGGTTAGAAAATTATTTTCAATGATAGGTTTTGGCAAAGTCTCTTATACGTCATCATAACCACTAGACCTTTAGTACAAGTTTTAAGGATGGTGGATGCAGAGAAGAAGTCTGCTATGAGTTTCATCTACAATGCTATGTATGAAGCTAAGAAAATGATTGCCTGCAACTTAGGGGCGAAAAGGAAAGCTATAAGAAAATTTGGAATATTATTGATGATAGGTGGGAGCTACAGCTTCAACGACATTTGTATGCAGCAGTCTATTACTTAAACCCTCAATATCAATATGCAAAGAATAAGTCTACAAATCTTAAAATAATGTTGGGATTGTATCATTGTATGGATCGACTAATAGGTGCTGCAACTGAAAGATCAAATGCTGAAATGCAATTGATACATTTTAGGAATAAAAAGAGTTTTTTTGGATTACAACAAGCAAATGACACTATTTCTAAATGATCTACAGGTAATTTCATTTGTTGTTTTAATCATTTATTTAAAAGTTGTTCTTTGAGAACTGATTATACTCATTTATGTAAATCTTAGTTGAGTGTTGGATTCAGTATGGTGATGGCACTTCAGAATTGTAGCGTTTTGCTGTGAAAGTTTTGGGAATAACATGTTCTTCATCTAGCTGTGAATAAAATTGGAGTACCTACAACCAAGTGCATACAAAGAAGAGAAATCATTTGTCAACATTGAGGATGAATTCACTAGTGTACATTATATACAATAGGAGACTAAGAGATAGAAACTTGAGGAAAAATGAGTTAAAGGATGACGAAGATCATTTGCTCTGTGAGAATATGGCATATGTGATGAGTAGTTTGTATATGATAAAATGGAAGTGATTTTGTCTGAATTACGAGAGGAAGATTTAAATGTTGATTTCCACCACAACTCAAGAATAAATCAAAAAAGGTATATAAATAACATAATTTCCTTAGACTTTACTTTTATTAATGTATTACTCATCCTGATATTATTCAAAAATATTTAGGGAAGATGAAGATAATTGATATTGAAGGAGCTGATTGGAAGACATTGGACTCCATAGGAGGGAGGAAGAGGAGAGAGTAGCTCACCATAACGATGATTCAAATGAAGACTCTCTTAGCGATGAGAGTGCTGATGACTTCTGATTTGTTATGTCATTGCTATTTATTTTTTGAATTACATGTTAATGAAAAGGATAAAATGATTTGGGAAAGATAGAACTTTGAGTTGAATTATATTTTATGGTCTTATTATTGTGATGTTTGAATTTCATTTTAATTTCAAACAATTTATTACTTGACACTTCATATCTTAGGCTTTTTTATGTTTTATATTATTAGATTACTCATTAGTATATAAAAAATTTATCATTTTATCTTTACCCATTTTTTTTATTTTGAGGCTTACGTCTCAAAACGCCTTGATACCCAAATATACAATTTTAAACCTTGCTTCACAGTATAGAAAACTGCATCAGAATATCATTAAATTATAATTAAATGTTTTTTAAATTTTAAAAAGGAAAATTAAATTATTTCAAGTTAGCTTGGAATCAAATTAATTTGATTCAAGCCAGCTCAAAATCAGATCAATTTAATCCTTGAGTTGATTTTGAGTTAGGACTATATCAGATCGAAATCTAATTGTTCTCCCACTTAAATTTCGTATATCATCCCTGGATCCCACATTTGAAAACCCTGATATGCTGAGTAAAACTTAAAAATAAATTTGTAATGTGAAAGTTGTGTAACAAGGCTTGATTGAAATTTGATGATAGAGTAACTTATATAATGAAGATAAAAAATTAATACTATGTTAATCATTGAAATAACAACATAGTTGATTAATCTTTTAACAAAATGGATTTTCCCATCCAAAATTAATAAAAGAATATAAAAATCTTACCTATCTGCTTTGTAAGAACCTCAAGAAGCTTCAAGTTTGATAAAAAAAAAAATTAAAAAAATTATCAAATTGGTCCAACCTCGAGAAGCTTCAAGTTTGATAAAAAAAAAATTAGAAAAAATAATCAAATTGGTCCCAAGATTAATTAGGGTGTGCACATTTTAAACTCAAAATTTTCGTAATCTCCAATTTGCTCACTCAACATATCACCTATGTTGCACCGATACTCCTATTTATGAAGGCATGTTGTATCCGATACACCGATACACGGATACGCCTCCGATACGCCACCGATACGTGTCGGATACACCAAAGCCGTATCCAATTAAAATACTATTTAATTTCAAAAGGAGCTATGATTGTTTTCTTAATTTTTATGTATGATTTATAAATTATAATGACGTGTTCGCGCCGTACCTGTATCCTATATTTTTAAGAATTGACGTGTCCCGTATCCGTATCGTGTCGTATCCGTGTCGCCGTATTCGTATCGGTGCAACATAGCATATCACATAATCAGATTGTGGGACCAAAAGAATCATATTGAAAAAACAAAAGAGCTAAGCTTTGATGAGTTAAGTGACCAAATTAGAGAATATTTTAAGGTCATGATGAACACAGCCTTAGTGCTCATGGATGAATAAGCTAAGGTGAAGTTCGCCCCTGACTATTGTCTTTTGCCAAATAAATGAAAATCAGATCATCAATATGCAGTCATCTAACATTATCAACGCTTTTTTCCCCATCGCTCAATCTTTCAAGCATTCAAAGAAAACATAAAACTACTTGGATGAAACTAATATGATTTATAACAAATCAAAATGTAATGATCTTTTTCCTCAGAAAAAATATAATAAGAATTTATACGTTCTTAACTAATATGCACAAGAAAAAACTGGACATTGGCCTTAAGTTTCAGTCCAAACCTGTATGGAATGTGTTGGTGAGTTGAAGAATCTCTGTACTTTTTGGCAAGACCAAAGTCAAGAATATACACCTTAGGCAAACGTAAGGAGGGAAATTAATAAGATTGATAACAAGTACTAAAAGAAGAAATATACAAGGCCAACTCCATGGATACCTGATTTGCACGTCTTCCCAATCCCATTAGAAAATTATCAGGTTTTATATCCCGATGCAGAAAGGATTTCCCGTGAATGTATTCCACACGGTTCATCTAGCAAAATGTCAGAGAACTATTAGTACAAACCAGTTAAACAACACCATAAAACAAAAAAGACAGAGAAAGTGCATGCAACTATATACCATCTGATCAGCTAGCATAAGAACGGTCTTCAATGAAAGCTTTCTACTGCAAAAATTAAAAAGATCTTCGAGGCTTGGTCCCAACAAATCCATCACAAGCACATTGTAGTCACCTTCTACTCCGAACCATCTTATATTTGGAACACCAGCTACAAAAATCAGAAGAGAAGATCAGCACCAGAGAATTGCAAAAGTTTGAAATTAAACCAGTGTAAATTGAACACTTACTTCCTCCTTGCAAAATCTTGTAGAGCTTTGACTCATACAGCAACTGAGGGTGTTTGGTTTTAATATTTTCCTGAAATGTAGATGTTCGAAGTGATCATTTTATCCAGAAACAAATATGGACTTTATCAACCATATAATTTTAAAAATTCATTTTTTTCCTTTTCAATGATCACGACTATCAACTCATGGATTCGTTAAAGGACTAAAATTTCAATCATGAAAAATTAAATACTTATTTATGGAAGAAGAAATAAATTGTCAATGCTGATAGAAAAAAGGATGCAACTGGAGCTTCAAAAGAGCTATGATCTTTCAGCAAGGCATTTTATTAATATTGGTAGTATCCTAGCTCTCTTTTTTTCCGTCAGTCTCAAGTCAATCAAGAAGGTCGAAGTTATGAGTGTACTTTTCCTCGTATAATGTTCAAGTTATGCAGATCACATATATAAACGTGGAACATAAAGTAAAGTTTGCAAAGAAAAAACAAAAAATCAGCAGCTGTAATTCACAAAAACATATAAAATTTGAAAGCCTGGACAGTCATTTCTCTTTTAGGGGATGTTTGATTATAAGAATTAAGAGCATACAGCATTTCTTTCCCTTGTATTCCAACTTTTTTTTTATGTTTGATTTGAAGAAATAGACAAGTAAAATTTTTTCGGGATTTGAAATCCTAAAGCCCTTGGCTCATGATTTCAAATGAATCCATTGACACCATAATTAATCTGATCTAACTCCAAATAAGCTCAAATTAAGCACTTAAAATATAATTGAAATTTTCTGGCAACTAGATGAAGCAAAGAGGCACTTTTACTAGATCAAAATATCATGACTTTTACATCATATCCACATATATTGTTTTCATACAATAATCATTTAATGAAACATGTCATGATTATTTGACAAGTTTTACGCTGGTTGTCGACTACCTAACACAACCCCCATCACTTTTCTCATCTGGGATTGGGGACCTAGCAACAACAGTGTTTACCCTGGTATTTTTTTTGTTTTTTTTTTGTTTTTTTTTAATGATATTCTTCTTGTTAATAAGACTAGAGAGGGAGTTGAAGGTACATTTGAATTATGGATGTCAACCTTAGAGTCTAAAGGTTTTCGTTGGAGTAAATCTAAAACTAAACTTATGGAGTGTAATTTTAGTAGTAATAGATCTAGTTGGGGGAATGTGACTTTGGGCAATCAAGTCCTCAATAAGAGTACACATTTTAGATATCTTGAGTCTATTGTTTAGAGTGATGGTGAAATAGATGGGTATATTATTACTAGAATTCAAGTTGGATGGTTGAAGTGAAGGAATACACCAAGCTTATTAACTGATAGAAAAGTCTCATCTCAAACTTAAGGGAAAATTCTATAAGATGGTGGTGAGACCTACAATGTTTTATGGTGCAAAATGTTGGCCATTAAAAGAGAAGCATAATATTAAGTTAAGTGTTGCAGAGATGAGGATGCTTAGGTAGATGAGTGGCTTTACTCTTAAAGACAGTATACGAAATGAGCATATAAGTGAAATGATTGGAGCAGCTCTAATGGAAGATAATATTAGAGAGAGTTACCTTAGATGGTTTGGTCACATAAAATGGTGGCCTTTCGATGACCCAATTAGGAAAGTAGATGTATTATATTTGGCTTATATTAAGAAATGTAAAGGTAGACCTAAAAAGAGTTGGTTATAAATATTAGAAATGACATTTCTTTATTAGATTTAAATGAGAATTTGACTCTTAACATAATACAATAGAGAAAAAGGATTCATGTAGCCGACCCCACGTAGTGGGATAAAGGTTTGATATTGTTGTTTGTTGTTGTTGTAACCATTTAATGAAACAAACTTAAACAACATTAGGTGATAATTTTTCAACAAATATAATGATATATTCAATAACAATATTCAATTATTCAAAAACTAAAAAAATAAGAAATATAAATAATGAATTGATAAAAAATACTTTAAAATCAAGAATAGTTGTGAAATTGAGTGGCCAGCTAGAGGCCAAGTGGTGGATAGCATTGAACGTAAGAGAGTGTGAAGGTGAGGCATTAAGAAGAAGCTTGTAAGTAAGAAGCTACTACACTAATAACTTAAGTGTAGAAGAAAACTAACATATTAAATACCATGAATATAAGAAACACCAAGAATTGACTAGCAATAGCAGAAGAGAATAGATAAACAATGAGCAATGATTAAACAACTATGAGAAATAGTGAGGAGAAGCAAACAATAGATGCTAAACCAAACCATAAAATTTAAACAAGGATTTAATTCTAAGTCGAAGTTGAACACGCAGGGCTACAACACGACATGGCAAAACGGCGCAAAATGCATGCTTTACTATGAGCTTACGCTTCACAAGTGATGTGCAAGGATAGTGCATCACTTCACTTCACTCCTGAAACACACTTTTAATAAATGTGATGTCTACCACTAAATATAAAATTATGAAATGCATAAGAAAAGGAAATTTTTTTATAACTTAATTATATTTACAATACATTAATATTCAATGAAAATTAGTTTGTGTGAGACAGAATAATTCTTGAGTATACAGAATGCAGACTAAAACCAAAACCTACAGAAAAACTTAAATTTCTCTGAGAAACGATTAAATTTTAAAGACTGGACTGACTACACACATGCAGCTTGCATAGCAGCCCAAGGAAGGCTAGTAGCCCCTTTAAGGGGCAACTCGAATGCTTTTAAAATATTGTCCTAACGATATTTTTTTGTGAATAATTCTTATAAATGTGTTTTAAGAAAATCGCCATTCAAAACTCAGAGGAGCCAAAATTTACTCAAATAACAGATAAATTTATCAATGACTAGAGTGCAACTTCTGGGAGAACTGAACAAAATTTATGAACAAGTATTCTCAGAAGGCTTGATTTTGAGGGTGGCAGCACATAGTGACTGCTACTTCATTCAAATTATTTTATTAAAAACTGCAGAATGTACCATCAAGCACATAGATTTAAGGCAATGCAACTGGCCATGAAACTCCATATTAAAACACATTTAACACTAACGCCGGCCATGCAATAAATTAATTCAAAAGATATGGGACAGCAAAAATATAGTTCGGACCAATCAACCCACCAGTTTAATCGCAACCTCCTCATTCGTCTGCAAATTAGTGCCTGTAAAGAAGCACAAAGCACCAACAATCAAGAACCCCAACAAAAAACAAAATTTTAACCATAATTTCAAAAAGGAACTCTTATATATACCTAAGTAGATCTCCCCAAAGGAGCCGCTCCCGATCTTGCGACCAAGCCGGAATTTATTACCCACACGAGGCTCCATCAAAAATACGAATCTTCTCCGACAAATTCAAGCCTTAATAAAAAGTCTCCTTTCACGTCGAGAAAGCTACCGATCGACCTGAGACAGGACCACCGAAACTCGAATCCCAAACCATCGCGGTTACTAGATTAACCAGTAAATTACATAAACCAATGCGTGGTTAAATATTTTGCACAGCATGAAAAATGGAAAAGTTGATTCCTTTCTGTTAAGCCTAGGGTTTGTCTCGAATTGAATGCAAGGGAAGAAGAAAATTGGGGAGGAGGAGCGGTCGTCGCATCGTTTCTTCCCGCATGCGGTTGTAGAATCTGGACTCGTTGAGCGTTTTGCCGTAACAGCTAAAATATCTCCGGATGTTTTGAAGAAATTTAGACGAAAAAAAAAAAGCGAAAAGATCTCGAACTGGGCGTCTTTTTGCAACTTTTTCTTGCAAAAACGGCTAAAGGTCCGACTTTGCTGAACCAGTCCAGAGTCCGAACGTCGTTTACTGATTGGACATGAGGTAGAGAAATAATGGAATAGTTTCGGGTCTTGACCTAATTATTTGGTTTGGTGGTTGATGAAAAGAATGAAACTGGCAGCTAAGGTGGTTGGGAAGATGCCTATGTGATACATTCATTTAGGTTTATGGTTGTTACTAAAATTCAGGAGAAATTTTGAGTCACATATGTTGATCAAAATTATTTTAAATCAAATGTTATTAGAAGATAAAATTATTTTTTTTTTTAATTTAAAATCAAAATTTCAACCAAAGATTTATCATCCAAAATTATTTTACTAAATAACCTAAAGTAAATTATAGTGCAATAAAATAAATTAAAAACAAATAAGAGTACGAAAATCAGATTTATAGTGGTTCAGTTGAAATCGACCTATGTCTACTCTTCAAAGGTCTACTTATTTGGGTATTATATTAAAAGTGACTCGTATTTAGGACACATCTAGGTGGAGAAGCATTTCTCCCTTAGCCAAGCGGAGAATGATATAAAGACTTCAAATCTCTATCCTTCTGCCTCCCAAACTAGCGGAGTGTTGTCCCTCCTTTAGCTACTCGCTCCTACTGAGATGTCGATCTCTTCTTTCGCCTCCAAGCTCGACGAAGATACAGTCCCTCTTTTAGCTCCTCGCTTCGGCGAAGATGTTGATCTCTCATTTCACCTCCCGTCCATATGAAGATGTCGATCCCTAGCCTCCTCGGCTAGCTAGTCTTTCACACCAAATACTCTTCTTCATAAAGCTCTCCAAGAGCTCCACCAAAACACAATAAGAGAACCCAAGGTACTGGCTAGTCAGAGCAATCATGAATCCTCTCACACCTCTTGACTATCTCAAGACAAATTCCCTCTCTCAACCTCACCTCCTCTCCCTCCCTTGTAAAGTGGGCATTCTCCAAGCTCTCTCCCAAGAAGAAAAGGTCTATGACTGCTCAAGCTCTATATCCCTCAAAACATATGATATGTTTATATGGGCTATCAAAAAATCAATTGCTCTAATTATATAGTATGACTCACAAATCATATAGTGCAATCATCTTATAGAATGCATAGTCATTTAATATGATTAGTTATCAAATCTTAGATCATCCAAGATGAACCAAGGTTAGTCCAACGAGTTCTCAGGTGAATCAGACTATACATTATTTGTATCACACAATATGATTATTGATAATGATTATATCCTAATTTGATTCTTTAATCTATAGGATTAAATTAGGAAATTTTAATTAATATTTGTACAATATGTTCAGTTTAAATTTCAAAATTCAAATTGACATAAATTTAGATAATATAAAATCGATGGCGATCTTGTATCAAAATAGTTAATCGTCATGTACGATTTAACAGTGGTACAGCATAAATAATTATATTAATTTAAATAATCTCATTTAATTAAATATTTGAATAGTTCTTACAATATAATTTGGATAGGACAACTCGATTAATATAAAATTTTAAATATTCAATTTTACTCTCCATTGTATATGTGTGCACAGTTATCTAGTCAACATACACCTAATATAAAAAATGACTTAAGAAAAATAAAAAGTACATAATTTATTATACACAGACTGACTTATACACTAATGATATACCATAGATTGCTTTAATTAATTATTAATTTAATAACTTATTTTAATTTTTGTATTATTATATTTAAAAGAGTAGATATTGTATTTAAATATAAAAGAGTAGATATTATAACATATTCTACTCCACAGTAAAGTGGTTGGCTATTTAAGTATACTTTTTTGAGTCTTGATTCTTCAAAGATACTCGATGTATGATGTATATGAAATAATTAGTGACACTTACAACATCAATGATTGGGCTCACTGGACCTCTTGTGAGAGCACACCTGCAACATTAATTAAGGGTTAATTTTGGAAACCCAAGTGGGTTTTGGTCTCACCTTATATTGTTGGGTGACTATTGATATTCAAGCATTCAAATCATATATGACCTAGCTTTTTTAAATTCATAGCAAATAACATTAGTAAAAAATTTATTTGACTTTGTGTTTTTACCTTGTTGTTTGTCAAAGTGGTGCTTCTACTTGTGTTTTAGTAATCTTTTGAATTTACTAGTCATTAGTGTTATGTCCTTGTTTCCATCTGAACCAAAATCTATGCTATCCATATTATCAGCTATGAGTGCTATTGCCTTCTGCTTTTTGTTCGATTGCATATGTATGTCTTTGACTCAACTTTTGCTCGTAGGAAATCGAGCCAAGTAGATTATCAATAGAATAAGAATTTAAATCTTTTGATTTAGAAATAACAATAATTTTTGCATCTCAAGATTCAGATAAACAACATGAAATTTAATTAACTTTTTAAGATTAGAAATTTCCTTACCCACAACATGTAATGAGGTAATAATTTTTATAAACCTAATATACATGTTAGAAATTGATTCACTAGGTTGCATGTGAAAAATATCTATTCACACAATAATAAATTCAGTATTTATTATTTTACTTTGTTAGTTCTTTCATATGTTATACAAAGTCTATCACAAATGTCTTTACTAGTAATACAAATTGAAACATAAATGTAATCCTCGAATTTTAAAGCACATAAAAATAATTAATTATTTATGATTAAATTATGCTAAATCACAATCTTGTATGGAACATTCAATAAAGTAAATCTCTATTTTAACTCCATTCAAAATTATATATAAATGATACAAAATACTCATGTTGAATCATATGTCACATACAAAAATTGATCGATTGCCAAAAAAGTGGACATACAAATCTTCCAAAAATCAAAAGAGATGTTATAAAAAAGTGGTGGTCATGTAATAGAATACTTTATGACTTCCAAAGTGTGCCATGTTAACTCAAGTTGTCAAACAAAAAAAGTGGTAATCATGTTCTAATACTATTTGAAAGTACTTATGATACACTAAGATTGATGAATTGATATTTTAAAAAAATTACTTAAGAAAAAAAATGAGATATGTGAAAGCATTTAAGAGAATAAATATTTCAAACCAAAATCAAAAGTAAATATTTTTTTAAACTTTTAGAAGACAAAATTATTTTTTTGGTTTTAATTTCAAACCAAAATTTCAACAAGAGATTTATCAACCAAAATTTTTTCACAAAGATAATCAAATGTAAACCATAGTGTAGTAAAATGCATCACAAGAATATAAATAGTATAAAAATTAGATTTATAACAACTTGTTCAAAATCAACCTACGCCCACTCCCCAAAGATTATCCTCTCTGGGTGTTGCATCGAAATTGACTATCTTTTAGCACATAGCTAGCAACAGGTCGTTCTTCCTTAACCAAATGGAGAATGACCTTTATAGACTCTGAACTATCGGCCTGGCGGAGATATTATCTCTACTTTAGCTCATCGCTTCGATGGAGATGTCGATATCTACTTTAGCTCCTCGCTTCGATGGAGATGTCGATCCCTCCTTTCGCCTCTAAACCCGGAGGAGATGTCGTTCCTCCTTTAGCTCCTTGCTTTGGCAGAAATGTTGATTCCTCCTTTCATCTCCTGACTCGACGAAAAAATCGATCCCTCCTTTCACCTCTCGACATAGCAGAGATGTTTATCCCTTCCTTTCACCTCGCGACTCAACACATCTGTCAATTTATAACCTCCTTGGATAGGGAGTGTTTTGCACCAAAGACACATTATCATGTGGCTCCTCTCTAAGAGCTCCACCAAAACACAACAGGAGGACCCATGAACTAGGCTAGTATGAGAAACTGTGTGAATCCCCTCACACTCCTTGACTCTCTCAAGGCAAAATTCTTATCTTTCACCTCCTCTATCTCCCTTATGAAGTATACACTCTCCAAACTCTCTCTCATGAAGAAAATGTTTATGACGGGTCAAGCTTTTTATCCCTCATGACATATGATGAGTTTTTAAATTGGGATATCATAAAACCCTAATTTCAATTTTTAATTGCTTTGATTGTACAATATAATTCACAGATAATACAATACAATTTGTTTACTTCTATCAAATATCATCTTATATATTGAACAAATGTTCAGTACTAATAATTATATCGAGAAATATATAGTATAGGACGAACCAAACTTCATCTAACAAATTCTCAGGTGAATTGGACTATACAATATTTGTCTTGTACAATACGATAATTAATGATTATTAAATCTTGATTTAATTCTTTAATCTATGGGATTAAATTATGTAATTTTAATTAATGTTAATGCAATATAAACTTGGTTGTATAGTACGATCATTTCAAATTTTAAAATTTAAATGACTAATTTAGAAAAAATAGATTCAACAGTGGGGTTTTATCAAAATAGTTGATCATTTTATATGATTTTGTAGTCATAAACTATGAATAGTTATATCATAATTTTATTAATATCATTTAATTAAATATTAAAATTAATTCTATTTGAATAGATTGTACAATATGATTTGGATCGTAAAGTGTGATTAATATAAACATTCAGATATTAAATTTTACTCCTTATATATGTGTTTATATGATTGTTTAACAAACATACACCTAAAATAAAAAAAATGACTTAAGAAAAAAAAATTACAAACTCTAAAAATATAAACTGACTTATACTCTGATGCTACACTATCTTGAGTCTTGATTCTTCAATGTTACTTGATGTATGCTCTGCTTGAAATAATTAGTGACACACATGAAAAATATATAGTATATGAAGTTGAAATAAAAGAATACTCATCCAATAATATTTTTAATTATCAATATAAGGTCGGGTTCCTAGATTGCAACACCATTGTTAGGGGATGGAGGACAAAGGGGCAATTATCGTGTGACGGTGGTCGGAGGGATAGAAGTCAAGTGAAACTGGTGAGAGGGACCATATTTGATGTATGGGACACTATGGTCTTAGGGACCAATGGTTGAGAGACAAAGGTCGAAGGAGCTGTATCCGAGCGAGTAAGGCTAAAGGGATTGTTGTTAGGCGATAAAGGTTAAAAGGACCAAAGTTAGCAGGTGACAAATATTAGAGG